TGGAGGTCGTGGCGGCCGTGGTGGACGCGGTGGCTTCGGCGATCGTGGTGGCCGTGGCGGCGGTCGTGGAGGCCGTGGAGGCGCTGGAACTTCCTTTGCCGGCAAGAAGACTACTTTCTAGGCCTGAATCCCGCGATCGACGGCTTATTTCATGTTTCCGTTACGAACGGTAGAGCGTCTGATGACACTCCAGGTAATGTATAACATCCATCCTCACCCCCAGAACGAAATTCAAAAAAAGTGCTTGTTTCTCGGAGTTTCACCTGTTATAATGATATCTGTTTCCGGCTTTCTCTCTTTGCTACTTTCCTGTTTCTTTCTGTAGAGTGCTGTCTGCTTGTCTTTGATAAACTCTTAGGGATTTTCAAAAAAGAAAATGAATTAAAAAAAGGAATTTTTATCTTATCGCCGAAGTCGATCTTATCTTATCTTTCCTTCTCCAGGTGTTCTTATCATCCGCTTAGTCATCTAACCTGAACCGTTTGCGGGGTAAAACCAGCTCTCGCCACGCATTTTTGGTGCAGTAACACGACGCACCTCTGCTATATACTCTAAAACCCACTGCCTTATGCGCACATCCTGCTGACATAATCTGCCATGCTCCTGCGCCTTCACCGCCATCCCGCTTTCGTCATCTTCTTTTCTTCTTCCTCCCATTTTGTTGGTTTCATAACTTCAACACACTCCTTTATATATATATACCCAGGACGATATCCAGGGGATGTCCAGGAGTCGCTGGCCCTGTTCGACTGCCTGGGTGAATGAGTGAGGTGAGTACGGTCGAGTGTCGAGTACATTGTCGATGCCAGATACCCGCTTCCTCGTGCTACAGTCAGGTGAGAGAACCAGTTGCCTCCTGTTATAGGCCATTTCTGACATATTTACGACAGACGCCTTTCCTCTTGACCTCTTCGACGACCATAACGCTGGTGGGTTAGCGTGGATAAAGGGAGTCGCATGAAGCTGGCTTGTGCCGCTACTTTGAGTGCATGTGTATGTGTTTTCCCCCTCCACAAGTCGGCGCGAGGGAAGACTGCATCCAATATGGATGCCTTTGCCAGCATAAGCTGATGTCTGCAGTTATTCTAGTGAGATATCTGGTTTCGTTCCTTTCTCCCGACATCTCTGTACTGAGAGTTACCCGCTAGGTCCAGTTCGTCGCAGCCTAGACCGGTTTCCCGCCGCCTAGAGTGGATATATAAATCTCGCCTGGTGTGGAGGGAGACTTGAGCAAGATACATGCAATCTACACCGCTCACCACACCACCATGGCCTTGACAAACACATCACCAGAGCGTGGCGTACGCCCTCAAGCAGCGCGAGAAGGTCATCCTCGCCGGTCAGAAGGTGAGTTCACGTCTTGATCTGGTTCTGATCGGCTTTTGGGGTAGCATAGACCCTTCTGGAAACAGGATTCAACTCCCGTCTCTGCCAGAAAATCGCTACAACTCCTCTCAACAGCCTTGCCGTCCCTGCATGAAACACCTCGTTTATGCATTGATTTATTGGATATCACAAAGCCTCAAAGCGTGTTACAATGTACTCATTTAGGTATTACATAGACTCTTGGATCGAACTCTCGTCGCAGCCTTCTTCATCTTCCTTGTCTTCGGCCGCCACGACCGACGAAATCATCACCACGGGGCTGAGGGTCCAACAGCTTCGAAGACGGCGAGCGACGCATCATCACCACCATAACCATAACCATCGTGCCGGCTACCATGTTCCACCGCAGGACTTGGAGATCGGCTACTCGCATCGTTCCTCGAGCACGACAGGAAGTAGTCAAGATGAGAACGAGGAGACTGAGAGCGAGTCCGACAGACTCTCAAACGACGACTTTCCAACTCGGCTTCAGCCCGATATGAACATGCTGCCGGAGATCTCGTCGCAGTCAGACGGGACTCTTTCAACCGATGATGATGAGGACGACGAAGACGATACCTCTACAGCGCTGGGATTCAACCCACAGCCCAACGCCTTCTCTCACCCACCAGCCTCGATCAGAACGACACAATCACGAAACTCGCTTGATTCGGCGAGACTACCACAGAACCGACGAAACTCACGGTCCAGCATGCCCGGCATGGGATCTCGACGGTCCTCAGTCCAGCACTCTCCCTTCAACATGATCTCACCATCTCACCAGGCTGACCATGACGCAGCTCTGCGTGCAAGCCTGTCTACTCTACTATCCTGTGCTGCCGCAGCCCGTGGCCTACCGAAGAATGACAGCCAGCCGTCAGTGGCAGAACGATCACCCCCGAGAGCAGAGCCATCGACATTCCGTCTGCTTCCAGGGGCAAACGAGACAGAAGATGAGCGGTTCGCTCAACAGATGCACGTCCCTCCACCTCCAGCATCATCAGCACCATCACGATTCCAACCATCAACATCAGCATCCCCCTCTCCCAAGCGGTCACGCTCTCCTACCTACACTCCTGCTCATGGAAAAGCAAGACGACGAGCCAGCCCCTCCAAGGATCGTGCCTCGACCAAAAAGGCTGGACGAGCAATGGTTTCATCATCATCATCATCATCGTCATCATCGGAGACTGCCACCTCCAGCAGCAGCTATCGCTCCGTCAGTCCCACCGTAATGACGTGGGTCATTAGTGCGGGCGTGGTGGTGCTTTTCTCCGCCATCAGCTTCTCCGCCGGCTACGTCCTGGGCCGGGAAGTTGGCAGAGTCGAGTCCGGCCAGGCCCTGTATGGGAACGGACTCAGCAACGTCAGCGAACCTGCGACCAGCAGCTTTGCCACGCTCAAGTCAGGAGCTGGCTGTGGCAGAGAAGCCGTTCGGGGTGGTCTGGGACGGTTCCGATGGACAGGAGGCAGCGTCTCCGCATGAACCTGACGGTTTTCTTTTTCTCTTCTTCTTCTTTTTTTCTTTTCTTTCCAGCTGCTTCCCGGATCGACGGAAGCATCCCATGTCCCTCACATCGCATCCCAACGGGCACAACGAGGTGACAACGAGACTTTCTATATGAAGCCGGGCGAGAATCTATATGAACGGGCGCCCTGGAAAGACTGCGGCATTTTACAGACTGGCGGATGTGCTCGGAGTTCATTGGGACACATCGCATTGGGTGGTGTTCTCTTTCATTCTCTTTGACTCGTTTTTCTTTTTATGATTCTCATTGACCGGCTAGTTAATTACGTGTGCGGATGCTGTTGAATGGATGTTTTTGCCGGCGTCTCTTTTCCATCGTCTTTTGATATCTGCTCCCAACCCCCTTTTTGCCCATTATCTGACAGTCTTAGCAAAGCCCCTTTTGAGTATCCAATTTGCCAGTACAGCTCTATTTCTACTGCGTCTTCCAGTAGTTTAATATATATCCCTTCTTCTCTACCCGTCTTATCCTCGTATATATAAGCAGCACTAACAGGCCCTTGCTGGCCCTTGGCGACGTTTTGCAGCCGAAGATCCGGCCCTGCTTGTCTCTTCCGCGTCTTCTGCTGCCCCTCGTCTGCCTCCCTCGCTCCCCCACCTTCGGGCTGTCATAAATTCTTCTTCGTCTTCCTTTCCTCCCCCTTTTCTTCTTCCTTCAACAACATCATCAGTTCATCTCCATCATCATCGATATCACCAATTCATCGCCATTCTCCTCGCCTCGCCCACTTAGACTACTAGACGGTACGAAGCCAGAAGCCTCGAGGTCGCGAATACAGGGGACGGTCTTCGTCATGGAGCTCCCGTCCCAGTTCGCTATGGATTCATCCAAGAGTCAAGGTATTTGTGGTATATATCATCATATCAGTCACGAGTGACAGGTGTTCGGCCTGGCGTCTCTCGCTTTCGTCCGGTCCATCTTGATATCTGATCATATTGCCATATGGTCGGTTGTCTTGATGCCGGGTGACTGCGAGACCGCCGGCCGTTCTGAGATTATACTGTCTGAACTTGATCTAGATAATTCTAGCGAAAGGACACACGCGACTTCACTTCTCCCCCCTTCTCTCTCTTCTCATGTTTACCCCCTCTGTACGAGGGTGCTGTGTGATGCTGACAATGACCAGTCTGACCGGCCGTAATCACCATGTCTACCGACAAGATTACCTTCCTCACCAACTGGTAGGTTCTAACACGATAGCCACTGTATCTCTGTCTTCTTACATTTGCGTGATCAATTGATGCATTGATTGCTGCTGTGTTGTGTCATGAGCTGGAGAAATAACTGTTTGAAGGCATGCTACGCCCTACCACGCCCCCTTGTATCTCGCCCAGAAGAAGGGATACTTCCAGGACGAGGGCATCAAGGTCGCCATCCTCGAGCCCAATGACCCTTCTGATGTCACCGAGATCATTGGAAGCCAGAGGGTCGACCTCGGCTTCAAGGCCATGATCCATACCCTTGCTGTCAGTTGGCCCCTTTTTACCATTTGTTATATTTGGGACACCTATTTGACTGACATATGGCAGGCCAAGCACGGGAACTTCCCGGTCTTGTCCATGGGTTCTCTCCTCGATGAACCATTCACCGGTGTGTGTACCTCAAGGACAGCGGAATCACCACCGACTTCCGCTCCCTCAAGGGCAAGCGTATCGGCTACGTTGGAGAGTTCGGCAAGGTATGGATCTCATGCATTTATCTATATAAGCATAGATCACTGCTAACGTGTGCCTAGATCCAAATTGATGAGCTCACCAAGTACTATGGCATGAATGCCGAAGACTACACCGCCGTCCGCTGCGGCATGAACGTCAGCAAGGCCATCATCCAAGGCGACATCGACGCCGGCATTGGTCTCGAGAACGTCCAGATGGTCGAACTCGAAGAATGGCTCGTCAGCCAGAACCGTCCCCGCTCCGACGTCCAGATGCTCCGTATCGACGAGCTTGCTGAACTCGGCTGCTGCTGCTTCTGCTCCATCCTGTATATCGGAAACGAGAAATTCATCTCCGAGAACCCAGAGAAGGTCAAGAAGTTCATGAAGGCCGTCAAGCGTGCTACCGACTACGTGTTGGAGAAGCCCGAGGCTGCCTTTGAGGAGTACATTGACATGAAGCCCATCATGAACACCGCCGTCAACCGTAAGATCTACGAGCGTTCCTACGCCTACTTCAGCAAGGACTTGAAGAACGTCGCTCGTGACTGGGAGAAGGTCACCAAGTACGGCAAGCGATTGGGAGTTTTGGACGAGTCGTTCAAGCCAAACTACACCAATGAATTCTTGTCCTGGGACATGGAGCCTGAGTCTGCTGATCCCACGGGTGACCAGAAGAAGATGTGTGCTCTCCAGAAGAAGGTTGCTGAGGAGGGTGGATTCAAGAGAATCCAGGTCTCTGCTTAAATATCAGGTGTCTCACCAAGAGTAGCCAGTCATGTCTGATGGAAAAAAGGATATGGTCACCTTTTCATCCCAAGTCCTGTCTGTCTTTCGAGTTCAAAAGGTAGCAGCCACTCATTTATATGCGTGACAATGAAATTATTTGAGAAGATATTTTCCATATAACCCCTTGATTCCTGGAAGCTGCGGAATGCCGCTAAAGTAAAGGAAAGATGAAAAAAAAAAAAAAAAAAAAAAAAAAAAAAAAAAAAAAAAAAAAAAAAAAAAAAAAAAAAAAAAGGTAGAATACAGTTACTTTCTAAGTTAATGTACAAAAAGTGTTGTGGCCCTTTTGCTCAAACAATGACAATGGTATACCAAATATAATATCAAGCCATCCACCGGCTCTAGATATCTTCCACGATACTATGATAAATCTCCCCTATTCCAAATCCATCTACAAGCCACGCAAGAAGTTAGATTCCTTAATGGCTTTCCGTCTTGCGTTACGAGCAGATTTGGTGATTTGGCTTCGAGTTTCGAGTCCAGCTGTAGCTGCCTCCAGGTTATCAGCAGCCGCCTCTCCAGTAGTAGCGGTATTGTACTCGGCGGGCGTGATGTCAGTAGCCTGTTCGTGTACGGGGATAGCACGCGGTTGCGAACCAGCTAGCGCAGCCATCTTCTTCTCATGCTTCTTGCGAGCCTTCTTGTTCATATCTGTAGGAAAAAGAACGACCGTCAGATTTGAACCCTGTTTCAAAACAAGATACGGTATGACAATTTGGCATTATACGTACTCGAAACATCAACTGAGCCTGCTCCAGTCTCTGACTTCTTTGCAGTCTTATCCAGCAACGTCCACAGCCAGTCTGGATATTCATGGTCTTCTAGCGCAATTGGATCCTGCTTGTTCTTCTCGTAGTTCAACCCAGCTAGCTTCGTACCTGCGGGAACACTGCTGACTATCTTCGGAGCTGCTTTGGTAGCTGTCTTTGAAGGAGCGGGAGAGGCTGCATCGGCTGCTGGTGCCGCTGGTGCCGCAGCGCTGTAGAATCGGTGCGGTTGCCGTGATGGGATGTGAGAATATGAGTATGCGGCCGATGCGGGTCGGGAGGAAGGGAGTCGAGAGAGAAGAGACGAGCGGCACTGTCGACAGATCATTTTGGCGGATGCGTCTTCTCTGCAATTGAGGTGACGGAGCAGAGTTGAATTGCAGAAATTCTCGCTTCTTTGATCTTTCTCGTTCGTGAAGCTGTTTGAAAGAACGAGAAAAATGTTTCCTAGAAAGCGTCACGTGATGCATCAGCGGCCCAGGGCTTTGTTGCTGAAGTTTAAAGGTAGAGCAAGTCGGAGTAAACATGGAGAAATATAAAAATGTGATGAAAAGGAAAATTATGAGCTGTTTGGTTTCATTCTATAACTATCTACATGGTAGCTAACGAAATAATCGTCCCACCCGTATAACCAAGCCCAAAAAACCAACGGGTCAAATTCTGGATATGAGGACCATACATGGCAAAAAGGGCATGCAAAGAGCGAGAGATTCAAGAACACGTCTAATCATAGATGGGTTTATTTATGAAGAATATTCATCTCTCTTGTGAGGTTTGTCCGGATAATCCATGAAGCTCATCACATGTGCTGGTGTTTCGAGTTCCTGGCATTGCGGGTGCTGCTGAGCTGGGGAATCATGCAGGTTCGGCCGTAGGACGACGCCCTCAGGTGTCGTTACAGTTAATTTCACACCCTGAGATACCTGTTGTGATGTAGGTGAAAGTGGAGATTTGTGAGGGGAGGATTCACCGGTAGAAGAGCCCTCTAGCTCTCGTGGAACTGGTGGTTGCGGTGGATTTGTGGTACCCGGAAGTTCTGAAATGGTGGTTATAGCACTCCCCGGACGTACGGCAGAATAAGTACCAAGACCTCTTAATGGAGCCGAGACAGTGCCTTGCGAGACTATCTTTTCATTAGACCAGGCTATGCTATGTGTGCTGGGGGTGATCGTTGTAGACGAGCCGATAGATGGCGAATCAACATATATTCTTGGACTTCCGGCAAAGCTGGAGCCCTCTGAAGGAGCAAACATTTCTGCCCGATGTTTACTTCCTAAGGATAGCATTAGTATTCGATTAATCACGGAATGTAATTATTTTAGGACTCACCATCAAGCTCACCGCATGGTTCACCACAGGCTTCTGGCTCTGGAGCCTTCTCTATGGTTGGACTGGTGATACTTTCCGTGGCCTCCTTCTGATGCCGACACAACAGCACCGCACAGCTTCCTCTCCATTTTCCAGCTTTCTTCCTCTTGTGCCGAATGTGGAACCAGAAAAATGCGCCACTGAGAAGGAGCAGCGCAATAACCACGGTGCCTACAATACCTCCGATGAAGGCTCCTCGACTGGGCCCCGAGTGAACGATTGTTGCCTCTGGTATAGGTAATGTCACTATTCCAGTAGCTGGTATAAGCGAAGAACTGCTGGCTGGTGTTGACGACATAAATGTGGACGTCGTAGATGCTGTGGGTATCATCGGTCTGGTGGGTGGTGGGGGTAGAGTAGATTCTGTATCTATCGTCGTCGATGAAGTTGTGCTGGTGCTAGACAATGTAGTTCGAAAAGAAGTCGGGGTTGGCCGCAAAGCCCGGCTGGTGCTGGTAGTAAAGGGCGATGTTTTGTTCACATTCTTCTCATCGTCTGGACATATCCCAGTGTCGCAAGGGTCTACCGAACAGCATCCTCTATATGCACCTTTCGAGCAGGCATAGAACTGAGTACCTCTCTCGCAATCCGTCTCGTGCTGGCGAAACCAAAGCCTCATATCCATCGTATGATCGAGATCTAGTTTGTTCTTTCGTCTGAGTGTGGTCGACCAAGTGTGAAGTTGGTGTTATTCGGAGCCACAACCTTCTTCTCAACCGAACACATTGAGGGATAATTAACACTGAGTGAGATATTATTATCCCACACTCATCAGCCTTGCAATTTCGGTTCCAGGGCTGAAAACCATAAACAAGGAGAACAAAAAGTCTTCAGCAATGAGCTTCGATTTTCTCCTCTCCGACTTTTTCGGTTTTCAAGGTGAAAGAGAACAACTCCTCACGGGGGAGCACCACGAGGATAAAGAAAAGAAAACTCCGGCCGGGCGCAAACGGCAGCGCCCCCTGGCAACGCCCCCGTCTGGGTATCCAACGCAACAGTTAACTGAGCCGTCTTATCAAAGCGGTGCAGTACATGTTGCTTGTGCTGCACGACGGCGGGTTTTGGCATTGGCAGAGTCGCAAACAACAAAAGGGGTGAAACGAGCCAATCAGCGCTGGGCTGCGGTTGTTGGATATTACGTCAGCATGATTCATCCTATCAGGGTCACGGGTTTAGCGCGCTCTTATAGATAGACAGACGGTAGATGTAGGGGAGGTGTTGCTTTTTCCTGCGCTTGGAGAGCATTATTATGAGGCTGGAAGGTGATCTGGTCCTCATTGATTGGGACAGAGTATGTAGGAGGTCCCTATGTGCATTGTGGTGTGGGTGTCGGGTGTTTATAGATGTGGACAGACCCCCTATACGCTAAGGTCGACGGGTCAGGCGTCATTATATGTTGGTGTTGTACAGTTCTCTTACAAGAGCAAACAAGTAGACAAATCAGACAAGACAGCTTTTTGATTCTATTACCTATGCTGAGACCTTTTCATCATGTACTATATTTATTATCAAAAACAAAGTAACATACCAGGCCAGACGCATCTCGGGACCACTCCGGTCAAAGCCCATTGTTGTCCCGTCCGGCTCCCCCCTTATCTCGACAGAGCAATGTCATCAATTCGTAAAATAAGCTTGACGGTTTCGGCTGCAAGCTCAACTGCACTTGTGCTAACCAGCAGCGGCTGTAAGACACGCTCGTCAGCGATGTTTACCTTGACTCCACCGCTTCGAATGCTGACGCCCGCATTCTTCTCTCCCATTTCGTGGCGATGACGTAGGTCCGTAACGACCTTGATGCTGTTCAACCCTGCGTTCTCGGCAAGGGTGACGGGAATGACTTCCATGGCGCTGGCGAAGGCCTTCCAGCAGATGGCTTCAGTACCAGCGAGCAGACGGGCCTGCTTAGCGAGTGCCTGTGCGATCTCGATCTCGGGGGCTCCTCCACCTGCAATCAGGGCACGCTTCTTCACCAGGCATCTCACAACGCAGAGGGCATCGTGCAGGGAACGCTCCACTTCGTCGAGGATCAGGTTGTTGGCTCCACGGGCAACAATGGAGACGGTCTGGGCGGCGGTTGGGGAGCGGACGCCGGTGATCTTGAGATATCTGGATCCAGACGAACTAATCTCCTCTACCAGGTCGGCAGTTCCAAGCTTGTCTTCGGTGAAAGAGTCGATGTTGGCGATGGGCTTGCAGCCTAAGCTCTTGCATACAAACTCCACTTCATCACGCTCGATATCCTTCACGGCAAGAATCTTAACTCGGGAAAGGAAATTGAGGGAGAGGTCGTTGACAGCATCACGGAGAATCGACTTTTGAATAAGGATGACATTGCATTTTGTCTTGGCGATCTTTCGGATCATATTGAGCAGGTATGTGCGCTCTTCCTTAAGAATCTTATCCATCTGTCTATAGTCATTGACAACAATCTGATTCTCCATCTGTAGTTATCCAATTGTTAGCACTGGAGATTTTTGGTAATAGGGTATGGATGTACGAACATCTGGCTTTGGAGGGCTCAGCTGGAACTGGATCAAAGCAATCTTTGCCTTTTCGACTCTGGTTGGCCCGCCTGCGCTCTTCATTACAGGTTGATTCAGGATCAAACCGTCAACCATCTCACTATCCTCGATGGTTCCGCCGACCTTCTTCACTATTCTGATGTTGCGTAGATCCACATTCTCAGCAGTCTTTGGGTCAATAACTCGGAGAACAGAGTCCACAGCCATGGGGGAAAGCAGGCTGGAGTATTGGGAGACAATCTTAGAAGACAAGGAAGTCGAAGCAGCTTGGAGGAGTATGGCCCTATCGGATAGAGAGATGGGCTGTGACATATCTTCAAGAATCTTGACTGCGGCTGCGGCAGCACGCTGGAACGACTCAGAGATAACAGTAGGATGTAGGCCTACACTCAAACGTTAGAAGGTATATTTTGGAGACGTAGCACCGTATCATACCTTTGGCGAGTAGTCTCTCGGCTGCACCTAGAAGACTTCCAGCAATAACTACCACGGAAGTAGTACCGTCACCTGCCTCAACATCTTGCGCAGCACTCAGATCTACCAGCATCTTAGCAGCAGGATGCATAACGGCCATGTCCTTCAACATGGTATTTCCATCGTTCGTCTGTAACCGGGGAGTATCAGCATGAGGGGTGTAGGTCAGTTTGGTATCTTAAAAATAAACGTACGATTATCGTCTCGCCTTTCCCAGTTTGTATCTATAGAAACAATCAGTCAGCTAGCTGAGCAACGGAGGTGCAAAATTGCCTAACGTACCATCTTATCCATACCCCTTGGCCCAAGCGACTTTTTTGCTATATGTTAGCCCCGCGTTTCGCTATGCTCAAGGACGAAGCTATCGTACCGTTCTTATGGCGTCCGCAACCGCTATAGCAATGTCAGCAAATGCGTATCATCCGGGCGATTAAAGCGATTCGTACCTCTAGCTGCCATGATGTTCGCAGCGCGAACCGCCATGGGCTTCTCCTTATCCTAGTCAAAATGGTCAGTATAATTCAGGCACCTAGACAGGCGACCAGGCGAAACGACCTACTTTAAAGGTATTATTCATATTGCCCTGGATCCCTAGAGTGGCCGCCATCTTGAATCCTGTAAACTCGCCTGGCGCAGAGGTGTTGGAGGGTGTTGCGTGGTTGAAATGAAATAAATATTTATTTATTCACACTTGTGGAGGTGGAATTTGTGAGCTTCCCGTAGAAAATCGAAAGCGTAAGAGAAAAGGACGAGGTTGGCTTGGCGCGGCGACCTTCTAGGCTAAAGGCAAAAGCGACAGCTTCATTTCAGCAGACCAACAGCTCTCGTGGACACATCAACAAGCGTACGCTACACCTCTCTCCGGACCGACAGAAGCTCTGCTCTGAGATATCAGCTACGACTGCCGTCTGAATCTGCGTCTACCTTCCATCTCTGCCTATCGACATCTGTTTTTTTCGCCGACTTGACTCTTACAAATAGCCAACATGCCCAGCGCCACGGACCAGAACTGGGAGAAGTACAAGAAGAACTTTGCCGATGATGAAGAGCCAGAGAAAAAGATAACGCCATTGACAGATGAGTTAGTGGTTGACCTTGTTGAAGCTCTGCTGCTGAGAGATAGACCGCTGACTTCCGTGAAGGGATATCCATGTGCTGAAGACCTACGGCGCTGCACCATACGCTGCTGCGATAAAAAAGCTTGAAAAACAGATCAAGGACAAGCAAGCAAGCGTAAATGAGAAGATAGGAGTCAAAGTAGGTTGTCTTGATGCTGTCCGTTTGGAGTTTGGGGTGTTTTGTTACTTACTCCTAGACTAGGAATCTGACACCGGGCTGGCGCCGCCACATCTTTGGGATGTTGCTGCAGACAGACAGCGGATGGCCGAAGAGCAACCGTTACAGGTTGCTCGGTGTACAAAGATCATCCAAGATGAAAAGGATGCCGAGAAGAGCAAATATGTCATCAACGTGAAGCAGATCGCTAAGTTTGTTGTAAACCTCGGCGAGCGAGTCAGTCCAACAGATATTGAGGAAGGGATGCGAGTAGGGTAAGTTAAGACTGCCATTATATACCTCCCATAAATACTGACATCATGATGAAAAGTGTCGACCGAAATAAATACCAAATTCTTCTACCGCTACCTCCTAAGATCGACCCGAGTGTTACGATGATGACTGTCGAAGATAAGCCTGATGTTACATACGGTGATGTTGGAGGAAGCAAGGAACAGATTGAAAAGCTCAGAGAAGTCGTAGAAATGCCACTTCTATCACCAGAGCGATTCGTTGGACTTGGAATAGATCCGCCCAAGGGTGCACTGCTCTACGGGCCTCCCGGAACTGGAAAGACACTTTGCGCGCGAGCGGTAGCGAACCGAACAGATGCAACATTTATCCGTGTTATTGGCAGTGAGCTTGTTCAAAAATATGTGGGAGAGGGTGCTAGGATGGTGAGAGAACTTTTCGAGATGGCTCGGACCAAGAAGGCGTGCATCATCTTTTTTGACGAAATTGACGCTATCGGCGGTGCCCGTTTCGACGATGGTGCTGGTGGTGATAACGAAGTCCAGAGAACGATGTTGGAGCTGATTACGCAGCTGGATGGTTTCGATTCAAGAGGAAACATCAAGGTTATGTTTGCAACCAACAGACCGTCTACTCTCGACCCTGCTCTCATGAGACCTGGCCGTATCGACCGAAAGATCGAATTCTCCCTGCCTGATCTAGACGGCCGTGCAAACATCTTGCGAATTCACGCTAAGAGTATGTCAGTGGAGCGTGATATAAGATGGGAACTGATCTCCCGACTATGTCCCAACTCCACCGGTGCCGAACTGCGAAGTGTTGCTACTGAGGCCGGTATGTTCGCAATCAGAGCCCGCCGCAAGGTTGCAACCGAGAAGGACTTTTTGGCCGCCGTGGATAAAGTCATCAAGGGCAACTTGAAGTTCAACTCCACGGCCACATACATGCAATACAACTAGCCCGTTTCCCTATATCTATCTATCCTCTTACAACTTCCGGTGCGGGTGTGGGATTTGGGGCGGGGAACCTAGGATCCAAACGGTGCATCCCGCATCGCCATGTTATACTATTTTTCTTCATTCCTTAGAAGCACTCGAGCGTTTCTTTTCCCTTCATCAACGCCGTCGCCCTTGACAGTCACGAAGTAAATAATGGATTTTGATATAGCTTATGTAATCAAATACGGGAGTAGATTGTCACGTGCCAAAATCGGGCTAAATCGGGTAAGCTGACCGATAGGCAGTCTCTGATTGGCGGAAGAAAGCCTCGGGATGAAAATGCTTATATAATATTCCGTTTTGCAGGCCAACTTCGCACCTCGAAGGGAAAGACGAAACTCCAAAGGAGCGTCAACGGCCTTTGCAGCAGCACCTTATCAACCCGCCAACGCACCAATTCACCCATTGCAGTCTTTGCACATAGCTCTGCTGGCTGGAGTAGCATCATGAGCTTCAGTGGTCTACGGAGCATTGCTCCAACTCGTCAGGTATGGCTGATTTTTCGGGTTTGTTGATCTTGTATCCAGTTCTTACTGATCTCAATCTGCAGTTGACTCGGGCACTACGGGACCAGAGGAGGTACTTTTCGCAGACTCGCACTGCAGGTATGTGGTGTCATCTACATATATCGGGACTTATGTGAGGAATTGACCCATTTTGCAGCTCGAATCGTCGCCAGCCAACCTCTACGCGCAAAGGAAGCCTCTCCCTTCGTTTCACAAAAGTACCCCGTCATTGTACGTCTATGGACATTATCTTCCCCGGAATATGCTCGTCTGACTATTATAGGACCATGAATTTGATGCCGTTGTCGTTGGTGCTGGTGGTGCCGGTCTGAGAGCCGCCTTCGGCCTTGCGGAGGCTGGATTCAACACCGCGTGTGTTACAAAACTTTTCCCCACACGAAGTCACACTGTTGCTGCTCAGGGAGGTATAAATGCAGCTCTTGGAAAGTATGTTAATTTCCTGTTGTAAATTTGGAGGTTGCGGCAATGTTAACGAGATCTTAGCATGCATAAGGACGACTGGAGATGGCACATGTACGATACTGTTAAGGGTTCCGACTGGCTTGGTGATCAAGACGCTATTCATTACATGACAAGAGAAGCTCCCCAGAGTGTTATTGAACTTGAGGGTTACGGATGTCCTTTCTCGCGAACTGAGGACGGACGTATCTACCAGCGTGCTTTCGGTGGACAATCGCAAGATTACGGAAAGGGAGGTCAGGCTTACCGATGCTGCGCAGCTGCTGACAGAACCGGCCACGCTCTCCTCCACACCCTCTACGGTCAATCGCTCCGCCACAATGCCAACTATTTTATCGAGTACTTCGCCATGGATCTCTTGATGGAGGATGGTGAATGTAAGGGAGTTATCGCCTACAACCAAGAGGACGGTACTCTTCACAGATTCCGCGCTCACCACACTGTTCTTGCTACCGGTGGATACGGCCGTGCCTACTTCAGCTGTACCTCTGCTCACACTTGCACTGGTGATGGTATGGCTATGGTTGCTCGTGCTGGACTCCCCAACCAGGATCTGGAATTCGTGCAATTCCACCCTACTGGTATCTACGGTGCTGGTTGTCTGATTACTGAGGGCTCCCGCGGTGAGGGTGGCTATCTCCTTAACTCAAACGGCGAACGATTCATGGAGAAGTATGCCCCAACTGCTAAGGATCTGGCCTCTCGTGATGTCGTCTCCCGATCCATGACCATGGAAATCCGCGAGGGCCGTGGTGTTGGTCCAGACAAGGATCACATCTACCTCCAGCTGAGCCATCTTCCTGCCGAAATTCTCCACGAGCGACTCCCCGGTATCTCTGAGACTGCTTCTATCTTCGCTGGTGTTGACGTTACCAAGCAGCCAATTCCCGTCCTCCCAACTGTCCACTACAACATGGGTGGTATCCCGACTAAGTACACTGGTGAGGTCCTCACTCTCGACGAGAACGGAAACGACAAAGTTGTTCCCGGTCTGTATGCCTGCGGTGAGGCCGCGTGTGTCTCTGTCCACGGTGCCAACCGTCTTGGAGCCAACTCCCTCCTCGATCTTATCGTCTTCGGCCGTGCTGTCTCTCACACTGTCAGGGACAACGCCTCCCCCGGTGCCCCACACAAGGAGATCAGCGCTGATGCCGGTGCTGAGTCTATTGCTGCTTTGGACAAGATCAGAACTGCCGATGGATCCAAGTCTACCTTCGAGATTAGAAATGCTATGCAGAGGACTATGCAGTCTGATGTCAGTGTTTTCCGAACTCAAGAGAGTTTGGATGAGGGTGTCACCAAGATCACTGAGGTTGATCAAATGTTTGCCGATGTTAACATCAAGGACCGCAGCATGATCTGGAACTCTGACTTGGTCGAGACCATGGAACTGAGGAACCTGTTGACTTGCGCGTAAGTTTATTCTCCCCTTAGACATCCTCTATATCTCCCCTTACAATATGTATTCTTACACGGAGTTTATACAGTACCCAAACCGCCGTTGCTGCCGCCAACCGCAAAGAATCTCGTGGTGCCCACGCCCGTGAAGATTACCCTGAGCGAGACGACACCAACTGGATGAAGCACACTCTTACCTTCCAGAAGAAGCCCCACGGTAAGATTGATCTCACCTACCGTGCCGTCAACGGACACACTCTCGACGAGGCCGAGTGCAAGGCTGTCCCACCATTCAAGCGTACATACTAGACACGTCTAGTTGGAGAAATCAACCCGTAGCAGGTGATGTTCCCCGGTCATATCCACCCCAACCAGGCGAAAGGTGGAAAGTCGTCTTCGGTGACGGTGAATTCCTGTTCAAACACTACCTGTA